TGTTTATTCTTATACATTATGTACATATTTTATAACCCTTAAATAATTACATATGTATAAAGAATCAGCTAGTAGAAGCGTGAAATAGATGAGGAATAAGCTATATCCATTTATCTGAAGCTTACCCATCCTTGATCACATCATCAGGGCATCAGATTGCATCATATCCCTCTTGGATGGCGTCATCAGGACCCTTTTGTGCTCTAATTCAAAGCTTGCATAATTCAAAGTAGCCTACACGGGAAAGGAGCTCAAATTCTACATGCAAGACTGAATTATGCATGAAGGACATGCATTTCTCATGATCACAAGCTTGCATAAGCAGAGTTACACGTATGCAACCAACTCTACAATTGCACAGCCCCTGCACAGTAACTGTAGCCTTTTCAATTACGTGAGAAATAGGCCACAAAACTCAATTATGCATGTATGATCTCATGTCCTAGGACCTTCCACCCATGCATAGCACTGAACAGCTGCAGCTCCCATCCTTACACGAAATTGTAGAGCTGCTAAGAAGCTCCCTAGTGCCCTGAGGGCCTCTCCTCTTCTCCTGAGCTCTCTGTAGAATATTTAAGGAGCTCAGATTCTTATCTTTTTTCTCTCAGGAAATTCTAGTAGCATCAAACTCAACACTTTTACCGTGTTTATTAGTGATTCAAACCACCAATAACATTACAACCCAGCTACCTTAGACCTAAATAGATTTACTTTGCTCAGATTCAAGGCATTTCTACTTATCTCTATTGCATAAAGAATTATCCCCCTGGTTAAACAATTCTGGTCCTTAAGTGTACATACACTTATTCATCTGGATTGTTGTTAAAAGACTTATCCCAAGTGAGTTGAAGAAGTCCTCACCTTGGAAGCCTATTAATCCATGCAAGAGGATTGATCCGGATGCCCAATTGAATAATTGGATGAGTCAGCAGTAGAAGTACCATTCCTCACTGACTCCTCCCTGTTTCTTTTACAGGTTGAGGGATTTAACCACGAATAAACCTTCTCACTTACCATTCTTGTTAACACTCAGAGCACAACCCTTACAGGTTAGTAGCATAGAGGCTGACAATGTCTGTGCTAAAACTGCCAGTGCAGGTCCCCAAAATGTTCCAGCTACACTATTCCAACATGCTGGTTAGTGGCACTTTGGCCCTGTAGCGGCCATTAGTGGTCCATAGTGTAGCCAAAATGTGTTGACACTACACAATTTCTGCACAAAAAAAAACAAGCTACACTAACCATTTTTGGGAAAAAAGCATAGCATAGCAGCCCATCTTTGGTTTTATCCAAGTGACAGGTATGCACACAGGTCTGGGAGTCAGTGGAACTCAAATTGACCAGATGCACCACAGTTTCTGGCACTTTGTGACCCTCACATGGCCTTGGTTGATTTTATCAAATAATTTGCAATTTTTCCACATCAAACAATATACCTAGCATGTTGGATGAGATCTTTGACATCAGAGAATTGGTGTTGGATTTTGAGTAACAATCAAAAGGAACTATGTAGTCATTTTTCCCAATCTAGTATACATACAACCAAAAAAAGATTGGATAATCATTCCTATGTATAACTATTACTCCCTTTTGACCTTCAACAGCACCATATTCATGAACCCAATATATTATCCATGCTGCCATGTTCCTGGTATCAGTTCCAAATTCAGTTTCAGATGGAACACCACAAGCCTTCAATGTCTCATAAATGTCCTCTCAGGATATTTGGGCCTATCACTGGGGACTCGGGGAGTTATTTGGAATCTAAACTTAGGCTAATCTGGTGATTGGGACCCAGCGAGCCATCAGGATTCAGAGCCAGATATATAAGAAGGGATATCATTTCACCGATCCTGGGTTTTCTTGATTTGGATTGCAGTGCACACCGAGTCATGTTTTAGAACGTGTTTCTGTTGGACGTTGGGTATTCTAAAAAAAGATGAGAGGTTACCAAAATATACTACATTGTCTAATGATCATAACGACTTAGCTGGGAAAACTAGTTGACACTGCCTGCAAGAATGCACGCACGCACTGCAATGATTCAACTACCAGGCAATGATTTGACTACCAGGCAGTGATTTGACTGCCAGGAAATGATTTGACTACCAGGCAAAGATTTGACTACCAGAACACTGAAAAGTGCGCGACTAGTCCAATCTAGGATAGATATCATTTCTCCTTTGATCGAGTAGTGGCATAGATTTTCTCAAGAGCTCTAAAGATTTGAGATCGACATCTGCCAGTGCAAAGCTGGTGCTCCATTCAGGATCCTCTTCAGCTGATGGGGGTGGTGAAGAGGGTAAAACGTCGGGGACTTGAGCAAGCACTGTGCCCCAAGGATCGACGATCATCGCATGTCCCCATGACTGTCGTAAGGGCTTATCGATGTGAGTTCCCACCTGGGCTGCTGCAATAACATAACACTATTTTGGTAATCGTTTCAAGGTAAGAAAGTGCCTTGTTAGTTTTTGTGATATTGTTTTGTCTGTCGAATTTTATAGGCTCATCATTTGAATTAATCCTTACTTGTGTTTCGATCGCACGTGCCCGTAATAGAGTTTCCCAATGTGCTCCACCCGTTCTCACGGTAAATGCAGACTTGAAAAGGCAAACAAAAGTTGATAATTTCAGCTGTGTTACTCCAACCCGACGGTAATATCTGCTCATAAAACCACTGACAGGATAAATCAAAATGTTTGCACCTCTTCGACGATGGATCAAAGCTACTTCCGGGAACCTAGACCCATTCATTTTGCAAAATACCGATTACTCAACTCTCCCTTACAATGTGAAAATAAACAAGAAGAAGGAAACACAGGGAATTATGATTTACTGACCTTAGATCATAGCATATCAATTGGCCCACTACATAGTTTTTTGGTGGTCAAGGTTTGATGAGTAACAACACGAAGATCAATGCAGGCACTCTGTTTATACATTTTTAGCTTCATGAGGAAAGAAGTGCGACACGAAGGGCATGATTTTTGAGCTTTCCTACATACCATGTCCTATCGGGGTGGGCAAAGGCTTCTCAATCTTATCCCCTGGTATAATGTACTTGGACTCGTTTGCTGAAGTGCTATTTCCGAGGTCCTGGAGTAATCTAGTGTCAAGGTTGAACCACAATCAAGACAAAACCAAAAGTGGAATAGAAGACTAACTATGTCGAATAGATGAAGTTTTCGATATGCTTGTTGAACAATTCCCTCGCTTGAAATGATCAAGCTTGTATTATGACACCTCTTTGCATCTTCTGCACTCTAAGCCGATGAGGTTATAATTTTGGAGTTTGCACTCAGGACATTAGATGGGAACTTGTTTTGCTTTCTACCCCAAGTTTACTTTTTTTTAAAGTTGATGTGTGTGGTTGTTTACCTTTTCATGGACACCGACGGAAACCCAACAATTGTTTTCTTGAGCCGAAGATTGAATAGCTTTGACAAATTGACTGTCTTTTAATGATTGGGCCAACGAGGGTGATTGAGAGGCCGGCGCAATAAAGTCAGAAGCTTCTGGGAGAAAGATCATCTACAATGCATCATAAAATCGAAGTATTAAAAAAAAAATAAGATGGCGTTACAAGATGCTAAGACACAGAAAAGAAAGACTCTCACCCACTTTAGCTCCAGCCTTGGCAGACCTGCTGATGATCGACTGACATCTAATAAGGTTCTCGACCACATTCCCCCGACTATATCCCAGTTCGCATCGAGCGGAATATTCGGATCCATGCATAGGTCGATGATACAGCCCGATTTCCACGTCGAAGCAGGGAGAGAAACAAGTCATCGTCAAGATACAACAAAGTTCTCAAATCAGAAGGTTTTTTTTTCTTTCTTTTTCTATTTCTTCCACCCACAGCATTTCAACATCAACGACGTACTACCTGCAGAGCTGGCCGACAGCGCATAAAACCATCCGAGGAAAGTATGATACAGAGGATGTCGCTTCAATGAATGCGTAGAAGACTAGAAATGTGTTTGTGATGAGAATTGATTCAACTCCAGGAACACCACCTTCCCATACGCATCCCAGATCTCCAATCGAAGCTTCATCGCATATCAGCGGAGCACGATCCGTCTAACCCACGCCCTCAATCCGACGAGAAGGCTGCAGCAGGTCGGATACATATGCATTTATGTGTGCAGTAAATACGTTGGGTGTATGTGATAGAGGCCATGGTCGGTCTTTGACAGTCTGTCAAATTTTGCAGGCCTTGGCTTCGGATGCCTGGTGAGAGAGTCTCCCCATAATTCACGTCGATCTCTTTCCCTCACATTTCCTGGCCGATCTTGCTCACACGGTCACACACCCCTTGCTGGCCTTGGTCCAAGTACTTGAGATACATACCCCCATCCGCCCTCCCTCTGATGAAGGTCCTGCAGTGATCTCCTCATCGTCGCCAAAAACCCAACCAGTGTACATATTTATTCAAACATACATAATGTCAAGCAGCGCTCAAGATGAGAGAATCAGCTACCAGGCTTTCTACCCCAAAACGTTCTTGTTCTCGCTCTTCGTCGCCGTTTACAGTCACCGTCGTCGCTCACTCCAACTCTCGGGTGCGTTTGCAGCCAATCTGATAGGCTATCTTACCCTCGCCAACCCGAACCCAATCTTCGGCGGCGCGCTTCTCTCCTTCTTCACTCTGGGAACGATCGCTACAAAATATAAGCAAAAGATCAAAGCCAGTCTGGTGGATGAATCCGATCAGGAAGTTACTCCCCATGACTCCAGCAAGACGAAGCTGGCTGTCGGCCCCAATGCCCATCCAGGTAGAGACTGGAAACAAGTCCTTTGTAATGCCTGGTTTGGTACCTTGTGTGCACTATCCTATAGCTTCTTCGACCCCGAGTCGAGTCTTTCCAATGAGCTTCCAGGTTCCAATCAATTCGGGACCACCCACACCGGGTCACTTCGAAAGGCCTTAGTTTCGGCCGCTCTTGCATATTGGGCTGGTTGTGCCGGTGACACGGTCAGCAGAATGATTTATGTTTAATCATCATCAGGAGTTTAATATTGATTGATGACTGGAATCCCTTACTCAAATATACCGACTGCTTGATCTTTCATCATTACGATCGACGACCAACCATGGTACACACTGTCATAATCTTTGACCGAAATCCAGTTTGCAAGTGAAGTAAGTTTGATCGATCAGGCCCTTCTATCTCCAAGTTATCCATTGAGTTCTGCAGATTTCCCTCACAACCTTCAGACAGCTCTATTCGTCAGAAAAGACCGGTCGATCAAGCTTCTTTCATATATTTCTGGTAGATCGGTAGTACCACTGGCTCGTACCTTGTCTTCAGAAGAGATCTTTCTTTGATTGAGCCGTTCTGATGTTTCCATAGATTTAGATGCTGCATTTCATTCCTAATCTAACCGGGTGATAATCTCTTTGATCTCTTGTAGCTCGGAATTCTGTCTCGATCCAAACCGAGGCTCATCACTAATCTCAAAGAGGTGTGTTGCAACGTCATGACCAATCCTACAACTCTCATCAATGCCTCTTAGTTAGTATTCGCATGTCTTGAAACCTGTCCAAAGGATGGGCAGAGGGATTGCACTTTTTGACTGTTCTCTTGACTATCCCAATTTCGATCTTTCAGGTTCCACCCGGGACTAATGGAGCAGTGAGCCTCTTGGGACTAGTCTTTTCGGCCCTAGGGGGTCTCCTGGTCGGAGGAGTCAGCTCTTTTACCGGCGAACCGCATCAGCCGAGAGAATACATGGTCTTCAGCTGTGGTATCTTTGGCTTGTTGTGCTCGATGGTAGGTTGGTTTGACCCTCGTTTGTGTAGTTGATTTGCAGTTCCAATCCCACCTAAACAATCATATTTCCGTTCTGCTGTCAACCAAACTCGTCCTCAGATCGATTCGGTTTTGGGCGCCATCTTGCAGCAGACTATCTATTCCAAGAACGAGAAGCGAGTGGTTGCTAAGTCGAAAGTTCCAATGGGCGGGACTCGGGAGATCGTGGTAATCTGCGGATACGATTTGCTGACAAACAACCAAGTCAGTCATTTCTCTCCAGCTCCCCCCCTCAAGTACATAGTCATTTGACATCCAAGCTGATACTCATTCATTGCTTTTTTCCTAGGTCAACTTGATATCTTCAACTGCTACTGGACTTTTGGCTGGTTTACTGTCTTACTACTCTATCATCCCATGAAGCTTCTCTCTACATATTCAGCTCAAGGGATCCATATCAAAATTTGAATCTTCCCATAAAGATAGTCAATAAACCTAAAAACAATGCACCAGACTTTGTATATAGCATAACAAAAGAGAGAATAAGAGTAGTTTTTGCTTATCTAGTGTTTCTGTCTAATTTAAAAACTTTCATACCTTTGAGGGCTCATCTAGACCCACTAACTGTGTCCTTGAAGATTTACCAGACATTCCATATCAATACTGAAAACAAGCTGGCTGCATCTGGATCATGAAAAAACAAAAAGAAAAGAAAGGTGACCACAGTGTAGGTTTTTCCAATCTGATAGGTATCTGAGGTATTTGCATGTCCATGCAATCAGTGATTGAGAACCTTGATTAGATCTATACTGTCATTCTGAACAATTTAGGGCCCAAAAAATTGTGAAAATCTACCGCACCATTGTGCCAACAATGGGCTGCTATGCTAACCATAGCGGTTAGCAAAGCATAACATAGTGGAATTCCACTAATACTTAGGGTAGCACAGCAGAATTCCGCCACGACTGCGCTAACGCTACGCATGTGGGCCACAAAAAAGGGCCCACTACGCTGCGCTCCAGTGCATTTTAGCGGTTTTTGGGCCGTTTTTGCTGCTAAAAGCGCTGTAGTGCAGCATAGTGGCACTAACAGCATGCCAACAATACAGGTTTGGTGTGATGTTTTGAGGGCCACTACACTAATGTTGGTGGGCCATTTATCGTAGTGTAGCGGCCCATCATTGATTGAGCTTAGATGTTGAATTTGTTTCATCATACACTTCTTGACTTCCTGACAGCAATGCAACTCACCCAAGGTAGCAATCTGTGTTCAAGTACTGTTGTCTTGTCATACCAAAAAGGAATACTAGTTTTTTCTTGGATTTTTGGTTGGTCTGGGTCTGGAGTAATCTTTCAACAACACCACTTACAAGGTGTTGAAAATGAATGTGTATCTGAATCTCCTAAATACCACATGAGCCTGTTCAAGCAACCTGTGCCTAAAATATGTTTTGCAATTGAGATGTTTAGAATTTGATGCCTAAACTCTTGGTAGGCTTGCATCTGGTGATAGTCTACATGAGCAGCCCAGGAAAGCCCAGGAAACAGACCCCCACCATGTCTCACATAAATGCAAG